ACCTAACACCGGTCTGTTTAATGGTGGATGAAATAAAGAAAGTGGCGGTACTTTATTTATTTTTAGCAAGCGAATGTCATGCTCACAAGATAATTAATCCAGCAGATAATTCAGAGGCGGTCTGTTCGGTAAATTTTACTCCAGGAGCTGCGAGGCTTGTTTTCAAGCTTCAGACTGAACTGAAGCAGCAGCTGCTGACGTCATTACGCTCTTGTTTGATGCTGCGTTCAGGACAAGCATGGAAAACTCTCCACTCTTATGCCAATACGGTCGCAATGATGCTTTTAGATACCAAAATGGAATTGCATGAATATTCACCAGGTGGTTATGTAATATAGCGAATCAATAATAAAAAATCTGCGTCGACAAATTTACATAAGCGACGTCATCGATTATTTCAACTAATTGGTGCAGCCCTAATTTAGTTTCAAACTCCTAATTATTCACAGGCTTAACATTGATCTATGAGAATTTTTAATGTCAACACCATGTTTTCTCCCACATCTTTGTGTGAACAGTGTGTATCTGATAAGCACACATCTGTTTCTGCACGTGTATAAGAAGAAGCCTTATGTGCGCTCACAATCCAGCATTAACCAGTGACAGCCACACATTCTTTTCTCCGTCGTCTTTTCTTCCTTAGGGTTCTGGAAAGGCAGATGTGCATACTGACAGGCATTCCCTTCATCCATCATTAGGAGCAGACCAAGAAACCTTCCTCCCACTACCACCCGGCCTTCATCTCAGCACACAAGCAAAATAAAAACACTTGTTGACAGGCCCAACAATGTGTCGGCCCCCGGGCCGAGTGCGCCCTCATCCTTCTGGGGGCCAAGTCTTCTTTCAGTTCTCCCACAAACGTGCAGCAGCCATGGTCACAAGCAGACTGAAGGATGGGAAATGGCACCCGTCCAAAGACACATTGTTGTTACACACCACTGGAGATGGTATCTGCTGCTCCTACTTGAAGTGGTGCAGGGCTCTTTTTGCTTGGTTGCACCCTCTGAACAAGTAATTATGATGAACCGCTTGTCAACTGCAACCACTCACGGATATGTTCGTATGAATACACAAAGAGCTGGGTTTTTTTTTTCCTGCAATAGTATTGCGCATTTTAACCGACACAACTTACCGTGGAAAAAAGTGATGGTATGGATAAGCATGGTTGTGGACAAGGGAATTGAATTGTACTTCGTTTGACCACAGGACTGTGAAAATCAATGCCAAATATTTGGTGAGACAGAAGCTGGCCTATGTCTGTCTCACGTGGTTGCCCAAAGGACAGCTCGTCAAAGATGCAGACACAGAAGAACCCTCTTTAAAATTATGACGGCTATATAAATCCAACACACAGCTAAGACCCTAACAGGCTGTGTCAGATGTACTTATATCACAGAGTCCAGACTTTCTGGATTATCTGGGGGAAAATGTTCTGTGTTTGATGCATACATGTCCACTTAAATTGCACAACTATACACTATAGTATAAACTATGTTCTAAATGGAATAAATACAATATATTTTTTTATTTCTGGAAGTCATAGAAAAGTGTTGAAATGTACTCACCAACATACACTCCATTCTCCACTCGCTTGATGACATCAAAGGCATTCTCAGTATTCCCCTCGAGTAAGTCAAAGTTGACATCATAACTGCCTAAGTGATAGGATCCGTAAGCCGGCACCGTGGTTCTCAGGAAAACAATCTCTGTTGGAAAATTACAATCAGGTACAAAAAAACGGAAAAAGAAAACACAGATGAAATCCTCTTATTGACCCCGTGACTCATCGTTTGTACCAAATGTGAGACTGAAGTTTCTGTATTTATTTTACACTTATGATGGGGTCAAAGAAAGGTTGAGGCGTTTGAGTACTTTTGTTCAGCTTTTACACCCCAACTTAGAGATTATGAGAAAGGACAAGAGCTTAACTCCCTGCGACACTGAGCGTAAGTGTGCCTGAAAACTTGCACTGCAGGCTGGCCGATAGATGCTTGTCAGCCATCACTGTCTGCAAATGATTACTGCGCTTACTTATACTGAACCAGCATGGCACTAATGCTCTACTGAGGACCAGCCAAGCCCCCCACCCCCC